CACTTTGTGCAAATCACCATCCCACAACTTGTAAGCTTTCGTATTTTCAGCATACCCTAGAAACATTGCCTCCTTGGCACGGGCGTCAAGTTTCTGGATGTTGTGTTTTGGTAATGTATACCAACACTTTGAACCGAAAACAGGTGGAGGAGAAGGGGTCCGGTGGGAGGGGGGGGCGGGAGCGGGGAGAAATAAATATTTTCCGAAATGCGGGCGAATTTGCGGAGAGTTGCATTTGGGTCCGTTTTCAACGTTCGGTGCGTTTGTGAGGTGGGGCGGAGTTTTAAACACGGGCAACGTCCGGCTGTTCAAGCGTGTGGCAACTGCTACCGACCAGAAGGCGCCCCGGCTTGAAACGCCGTTCAAGCGTGGCAACCACAGAAGGTTTGGCAGCGCGCCTCGGCGTGAAACGATGAAAAACATGCTTAACGTTTGAGCTCAAAGGCCTCTCACGTATGTACGAGTTATCACTCAATGGCAATGTAAAAAGCTGATCGCGTCCCATCAGCACGCATCAAAACTCCTCCTCCCCCTCTCTCCCCGCCGCCGCCGCGGTCGAGCACGGCATGGTGTTCGGCCTCTTCCTGCGGCAGGGGGTCTCCCAGCACAGCAGGGCCAGGATGGGCATGGCGCTGTGGCTGCGTGACGAAGACGAGGGCACGGCCCGAGGGTGAGCGTGGGCGCGACATCGGGCTTTGCCGCGCCTGCACACGCGTCCGCGGCGACCACCTCGTCGGCGAGCGCGGGCGTCCCCGCTGGCCGTGTCCGCGCGCGCGTCCGCGGCGACCTCGTCGTCGATGAGCGCGGGGGTGTCGGCGCGGGCGCGCATGGGGCACGAGCTCGCGGCGGACGGGGATTGCGCGGGGCCTCGGGCACGACAGCGGCCGTGGTACAGCCGGCCGGGCGATGGGCTGGTGCACCGCGTCGTTGGTGTGCGAAGATCGAGAGCGTTTTCCACGCGATGGAACGTGGAAGGATAGAGGGGGAGTGCGGTTCCGTTGCTATGCGCCGTCGGCGGGCGGGTGCCGCGACGCGAGCGCGTGGCGGTGGGGCGCTGCTGCTGCGGGACGTCGCGGAGGTCGACATACCCCGCAGTGCACGTGCGGGGTTATTGACAAGGTGAGAGATGGAGCAAGGAAGGAAGAGAAGAAAAAAAGGTACCGGGTGGCGGCGCAGACGCAGTGCAGGGTGTGCGGAGGGAGGGTGTGCGGAGGGAGTGTTGTGCAGAGGGAGGGGTGTGCGAAGGGAGGGTATGCGGAGGGAGGGTGTGCGGAAGAAGGTTGGGCGGAAGGAGTGTTGTGTCCGTGCACAGAGTCTGTGCCACAGACGCGGTGCAGGTGGACCCGTGCGAACCTGGACAAGACTTGATACTAAAGCGGATGCCTAGAGAATCATAGTCCTGACGATGTTTTACAGCTTCAACCGTGCCCAGCCGACGCGCGGCGTAGGTGGACCCTTACTCAGTCCCAGAAGAAGCGTCTACTCTGCCTCTTTACAATTTCTCATGCCTTCGGTACTGGTACTTCGCTGCAAAATCTGCCTGTTCCTGAATTGAAGCCCGCAAGTAATGAGATCACTGTATAATATTGTACAAGATAACCTGCGAGGGAAGAACAGAACTTGTCAGTTCAGCACTGCCTCTTCAGTGTCCTGATTGCCTGACCCACTAGTCTCGGAAAGATATCGCTCCAAAGCCCCTCGCCCGCGCAAGACTGTCGTGCATACACGTTCCCCAGGCGCGTCTTCATCTTCTGCGACGACAATTGCCGCCGACATGCCGTCCATGTCGGGCAGTTCGTACATAGCATCATTGAGAGTCCGTTCCATAAGGGAGCGCAGCCCCCGTGCACCAGTTCCCTTTTCTAGTGCCTGTCGAGCGATGATGGACAGCGCAGGGTCCGTGACATGAAGCTCTGCATTGTTCATTCCTACCAGCTGTTTGAACTGCTTGACAATAGCATTCTTTGGTTGTGTCAGAATCTAAATTAGCTCTTGCATGTTCAACGCGTGAAGATTGACGACAATTGGCAGTCGCCCGATAAGCTCCCCAATAAGGCCGAAGCTGGCAAGATCCTCACTCTCAATATGGTCGAGAATGGACGAGCTAATTGGCCCATCTCTTCCCTCTGCCCTGACGTTTGCGCCAAAACCAATGCTGCTTGCTGACATCCGGTCTGCCACGATGCGTTCCAGCCCAGGGAAAGCGCCACCACAAATGAAAAGTATATTCGTCGTGTCCACGTGAATGACATCTCCACGAGGGTTTTTCCTTCCGCCGCCACGCTCTGGCACTCCAACTACTGAGCCTTCCAAAATCATGAGCAAAGCTTGTTGAACTCCAACACCAGACACATCTCTCGTAATTGACACGCTCTCGCTCTTCTTTGCGCATTTGTCTATCTCATCTATAAACACAACACCGCGCTCTGCTAAGGAAACTTTGATGTTGGCCGCCATGAGCAGCTTGTACAAAATAGACTCCACGTCATCACCGACATAGCCACTTTGAGTAAGCGACGTTGCATCCGCGATAACGAAGGGACCGTTGATACGTCGGGCGAGTGTCTTTGCCAGATGTGTCTTACCCACTCCTGTGTTTCCGATGAGCAAAATGTTACTCTTCTCTAGCTCCACGGCATCCTTTTCACTGCCTTTCGCAAAACCACTCACGGCCCCGCTGAACGAGAGTATATTGCTCGTTTTTGCCGCCGAGGCAGCACCACCCGTGAACACTTCTGGTAACGTTGTCTGAGTATCCCGGGGCATCAGCTGGGTGGGCAAGGCAGCCGTGTCGCTAGCGCCCTCCCTCGACCCGAGAAGCTCCGCCGCCTCCTGGAGCCTAGAAATACGTTCTTCCTTGATCGGCGGCGGTCCGTACCAAGTAGAAAACTAGATGCCGTCAACCGGGTAGAAGAAGAATTCCCTCTAAGGAACGTCCACCAACGGTGGGCTGACAGAAGCACTCCCATACTCTTGAAACTAACTCGACGGTGACCACTCGCTTCTCCTCATTTGCGCCGGCACCTCTCGCGGCACTGACGCAAAGGTTCAACCACACGAGGGATGACGTGATAATAGAGCACAAATACGCGCTCCTCTCAAGGACAGCTCACGAGATCTACACAGACGACGTATGGCGGGGATACTGCCGAATGTGCAACTGCCAGATATACAGGCCGGTGGCGTGCACGTGCCCAGACCCCGGGCGCAGCGAGTGGCACCTGTGCTCCAAGCTGCACTTCATGCTGGACCCATCCCCTTCCTTCTACAAATTTGCGAACATATTGCTGCTCATATCGCGATATGAAGAAAGAGCCTTTTCGTAGCGCTCCTTTGCCACCTCAACAAACGGTGTTTTGGACTCATCCCCGACGGCCAACTTCTTCGCCCTTTCCAACGCCATTAATGAGGCCTCGACAATAGCAAACATCGAACTGTTTTCTTCCCACGAATCAATGCGAGCAGCCGCTGCATTCACTGGAGTTGAATTATTGGCCGCACTCGTCGCCGGGCCTGAAAGCGACGACACCACCTTTCCAATCGATTCCACGTGCTTCTCCATAATGTCTATCACATCTACACTGCTCCTCCTCTTCTTTCTAGAATCTGCTACAGCTCTGATACTATCATCTGGACCCCCACTGTCCCTTCCCCCGCCGTCGTAACATTGCCTATCTATTCCCCTAACTCCACACTCGTACCCCCCATCCAATATTGTTTTCGACGTCATTTCCACAAAATAGGTGTCTTGGTGCGGCGTTCCCATCCTAGCAACAACAAACAAAATCAAAGCACGTTTAGAGGCAGCATATAAATTTTGACCATTTCGTGGGAGAAAATTAACAAAGCGCTCTGGGTCGTTTTGACCAGAGCGCGACCACTTGCTCAACGCTGTCGTGAAAAGCGCTTTCGCGTCCCGAAAGTGGTCTTTCAACACATCAGCGCAGCGAAAACAGAGGGGAGATGCGCAGGGGTCAGCTTCATCGACGTGGCCTTGAAGAGAAAAGCGAAAACAAACCGAATCATCGTTAGACCTTTCTTCTATCTTCCCCCAAAAGCTGTCCCTCGTTGTACCCCCGTCCAATTCCGCCCTTCTCAATTCCTGACCTAACCTAAAAAGCATGCTGCGCGCCACTTCATCGTCTCTCATCAAAACGGCCAACCGAGCAAATTCAGAAAGTGAAAAGTTTGGCTTAGGGCGTTCTGCTTCACATCCTTCTAGATCTTCTATGCATGCAACAGGATCCTTTCTATTTGCGTTATTAATCGGCCGGTCGTGCTTGTCGAATTTGTCCCCAATCTTGTACAAATACGCCTTTGCCGTCGAAAAGCAGGGTGCCTCTATCCAATCTTCTCTGCTTTCCGCAAAACTGTCCACAAAAGACCCCAAATCTTCACAGTTATGGTTTGATTCAAACTTCACGAGTACATCTGCTCCCTTCTTTTCATAGTACCACAGCAGTATTAAGCAACGAAATATCAGCGCCAACTTGTTCCCTCCCAATTTTAAATTCCAGAAAGAGCACACTTCCCTTAACTTCCCTTTCTTTTGTTGGCAGAGATAAGTGTAGACTTTTGACATCTTTGTCACTTCTGCCGTTGAATCCCCCAATTCATGGTCGTCGTTACCTTTTCCCGTTGTGCCCTCCTCTTCCAGCGAGCCTGGGCTCGATGGAGGCGCCCCTCCACATTGACGATTCAAAGGATCAGTTTCTGATTCGGAAAGGGACAGGGGAATACGGCCCCCCGATACGCCTTCAGAAGGTGGAGGGGCGCCCGAAAATGGGGGATGTGTGGTTTTGTTGTCGGAGCTAGTGAGGATGGCGTCGAGGGTTGCTTAGATATTCGTGTATTAATCTTCGCAATGCGCGGGGAGCGGCGCGAAGAACCTCGATCGGTGGCGACCATGGCAAAAGAGGGAGGTGGGAACAGATTGCGCGGGAAGGGGACTGCGGGAGGGGGAATGTTGGGGTGACGGGAACGGTTTTGCATTCCCTGTCAACCCACTGTTTGCTTGCACTACAAAACTTTTGGGCATGTGGAGCGCAAAAGAAATAGTCCGCCAAATCGTAAGATCGTAAGTGTACAATCAGTCAAACCAGCCAATAGGACTTCGACAACTGTCCCAAAGGCGTAAGCTACACCAATGCCGCCTGTAAGAGGTAACTTCTTCGAAGTTAATAAATAATAAACTACCAGAACCAATCAAACCAGAGCAAGTGTTTTTTTTTCTCGGGCAAGCACGGGCAAGCACGGGCAAGCACGGGCAAACAAGCGCTTGTTAAGACACACCCAGAGAACGGAGCCCGCTCAACAGAGAACGAAGCCCGCACACCTTCTTCACCTTCTCTCCAGGGCCGCTTGACAAAGTTGAACCAATCTATGTGAACTTCGTCTGCAAATTCGTCTGAATACCACTCAAGCAGACCTTGGTCCGCAGCCCATTTCAGGCCGACCGAATCTGGGACACGTTCGGGGGCATCGCCCATCGTCTCTCCTGTCTTGGCGCCCCGCAGCACGACCCTGCCATCTGTATGCCCACATGCCACCCTGATCGCCTCTCCCGTTCTGGCGCTTAACAGCACGACCCCGCCCTCGCCGCCAAGCGCGATCTTCGTGTCGTTTCCAGCCCACGCCATGCACCCGATGTCCATGTAGGCGTCTGTGATTCTCTCCCATAACTTGTTCCCAGTCTTCCCGTCCCACAACCCCATCCCCCTTCCAAACGACACGAACACCCTCGTCCCATCATTGGACCAACATGCTTGTGCGTAACCATCGTAACCATCCTTGGCCCAGGCCTCCCCGCATTCCCACAACTTGTCGCCCGTCTTGCTGTCCCACATCGCAAACGTTCCATCTTCTGCTGCCGTAAACACCCGCTTGCTATCTCCAGACATCTCCAGACAATACACAGGGCTTACGTGTGTCTCAGCATCCCCCCACATCTTCTTCCCCGTCTTCACATCGTACATCACTACGTCTCCAACCACAGTAGCACATATGTCATCGCTTGACCACGCAACAGCCGTGAATTCTTGCCCTTCCTTGTTGACCTTGTCGACTTCCTCTTCCTCCTCCTGCACCCTCTCCAGATTATCCCACCTCCAAATGACAATATTGAATTTGTCATCCGCAGAAAACAGCCGCTTTCCATCTTCTAGCCAGCCCAAGACCACAACACGCGACCCGTGTGTCGCCATGTGCCGCCGTACTTCTGCCCCGGTCTCTGTGTCCCTCACATAAACCTCCCCGCCGCCACCGGAAGCAGCCAACCATCTCCCATCCCCGGACACAGATATTGCCGTTGCCCAAAAACCATCAAATTTCGATATTCTCTTCCCCGAGCGTCCGTCCCATACCGACACCACATCCTGCCCGCCGCGATCCTGCCCGCGGAGACAATAATCGCCACAGCACAACAGCGTCCCGTCCTCCGACCATGAAAGACAGTCAACGCGTTTCAAAGGCGCGCTTTCCGCGATACTCCTACCAGTCTCCCCGTCAAAGATCCACAATCTTGCTTCAGATAGTCCCATCTGGAACACGCACGCGACCCGCTTTCCATTGTTCGACCACGAAATCGACCCGTTGGTCCGATCGGTTAGTCGAATACTCGGCACGCCAATCACCCGAACCGTCTCCCCTGTCTCTGCACACAGTATCAAAATTGACCCGTTTGAGCCGCATTCTCCCGTGCACACCAACCGTTTCCCGCCCGGAGAAAGCGATACTTGCTTAAAAACATGGCCCCGCATATTCGCTGCCTCCTTGATCTTCACACCTCTCTCAACATCCCATAACACAACCACACCATCTTCTCTCCCAAACGCTACTCGCTTTCCATCCCCCGTCAAGTCAAAAGGGCAACGGCCCAGGTGCCCTACATCCACTTCCTGTCCGACTCGCTTTGCTGTAGCTCCTGTATGCATTTCGCAGGTCACTGGCCTCTGCTTCTTCCTCGCAGTCCTCCTTTGCTTCGCAATCAAGTTGCTGACATAGGTCCGCGAGAACGTGGTGTACCGCAATTGGTTTTGTGGCGGCCTTCTTGGCATAGTACTCCATTTTGCGTGCAGCTGCCCTGGACGTGTTCAACGGGAGCGTGCAGTCCTTCAAAAGATGCGCACCTCCGCAGTTGAAACACCCGGAGACCGATAGAGGGTTAAAGCTTCCGGTCTTTGCGACTCGGTTGTTCGCGCTTTGGCCGGTGGGAGAGCTTCGGAAAGGCGTACTCCCTCTTTGGAACGGGACGAAGAAGGGCTGTTGTGGTACCTTCCTTGCCCCGTATACATTATTCCGGCATTGTCGTCGGAAGAAGGCGTCCTTTCACCTAACTGTGCGCGGTCTCGTAAGATCGCGAGTTTGGACTCCTTCTCTAGCTGCAGGGCAGCCTCGAGCTCGGCATAGAGCTGTTGTAATGTAAGATTATGAGTCGCAGCTCTGCTTAGCGGTTCGCTCGACCATGGCGTCCCTCTTACTGCGTTTCGAAGGAATTCCACTTTGTGGGCGTCTCCTTGGTGGGATCTTGGAGCCTGTCTCGATAGCTGGATGATAGACTTGTAGACCCTTGCAAGCGCGGCAGACATCTCTGTCCCTTGGGCAACAAAGGAAGTAACTCGCAGCGTGTTCAGGTAGTTCTTAACTCGAGTTTGACGTACTGCAGAATTGTACTCATTCTCGAGCATTTGTGTGGCCTGCTGGAAACTGGTAGCGTAACCATCTACCTTGTCGAGGTAATACCTCTTCGCGTCTCCTCGAAGTAGATTGTGGAGGTACTGTAGCTTTTGCAGCGGAGAAAGGGAATAGTCTCGACAAACCTGGAGGTAATCGTCGACATACTCCATCCAAGACTCCCCTAGATCGCCAGAAAACTTTTTATCTTTGTCTTTTAGTCTCATGGCTACATTGTGCGCAACCCTTTCCGGGGAAGTGTGATTCGGAGGGGTCACTTGAGTCGACTGTGAAGTGGGCTGGCTCATGCCTCTTCTGTTCGAACCCGGAGTGTTCGAGCGGGACCGACGGCCGGCAGCAACGATTTCTCGTGCCATGTAAATGGCCGCCTGAGTGTCTTCCGGTTCTTCGTAAAGGCCATGAGCTAGGGTCATTACAACACAGTGAGATGAGTGTTTCTCCAAATTCCCTCCTCTACTATCCAAGAAGTTTCGCAACTCAATATGAACTGCAGGGAGGTCGCATATTCCTTGTTGGAAAAGCGAAGCCGGCGGGAACATGTCAGCGATAGTGCGCTTTTTTTGGGTCCCAGTTAGCTCCGGGGTTGTTTCTAGGAACCGAATTGAGGAGATGAAGCCTTTCTGGGCACTCGTAAGCGCACCCAACGCGTCGTTCGTTATGCCTTTCATGAATGTAACCAGGGGTTCGGGTGGTGACGAGTCGGAATGCTGTCGGCTCTCAGAAGGCCCTGCTCCCTCGTGGGAAGGGGGCGGGGGCATGTTGCGGATCGCAAGGTAACTAATCGGGATTTAGTTAATAGTTCCTTTAAGAACAAGGGCAAAAAATCAGCAGTGAGTCGATCTATGATCGGTTGACCTTGTCAGGGTCCGACCCTCGGCGCCTGCAGCTCTTGCAGGTAGAAAAGGTCCGACCTTTGGCGCCCGAAGCCTGTCCGGGTCAGGTAACGACTTCTGCAGTCTACCCACTCTTGCGTTACCAGAGTGGGCGCGATAATCCGTACGAAACGTCCACACCAGCCAGTATACAGGCCTCAAAGGGTGTCTAGTTTCTTGCGGGACGCTTGCGCGACGGCCAGTTCAGCGATACCACCCCAACCTACTCAGTGCACAACACCCCAGAGGATTCCCACGCCCGGAAACACCAGACCACAGAGGGTGGACACCGTTATCCGCCCTAAAAAGGACCGGTGGGGTTCCCTGCCGGAGAGGTTCACACTGCCGGTTCGAGTTGCCAGCGTCGCGTCACCGGGTATTAATTCCGGGTCAACCGCTCTCGAGCCAAGTAAGGGCAGTACCACGTCCCTAGCCTCCACACACCTCAACGACCAGGCCTTCAGTCCCTTCCAACCATAACCGAGACCCTATCGTTACTCCCAAACCAACGATGCGATGCGCACAAAGAAACAGAGCGTGCAGGCTCACCGACCTCAGGACAGTAGAGGCGGGCGACAGCGAGCGGCAGCAGCGGTCGGCAGCGAGCGCCGGCGGGCGGCAGCTAGCTGCAGTGAGTTTGGCGTCGGCTGTTCTGCGGCAATGTGATACCAGGCGCAGTGCAGAGTGGTGACGAGCTGTCGGCGGAGGAAGCAGGCGGCCAGGTAGTACAGACCGGAGCGGCTGTAGGTCGGCAATGCGGCGGCAGGCAGAACGAAGCGCTGACGAGAGACAGCGCGGCAGCAGGCACCGGCGCGACTGCGGAGGAAGTGTGGGCAGCGTGGCCCGGACAGCAGCAAGAGCGGCGGGCGACGGCGCGGCAGTGGGGCCAGCGGCGGCGCAGACCTGACAGAAGCGGGAGCGGCAGGCGGCGGCGCGGCAACGAGGCAGCGGCGGCGTAGGCCAGGCAGCAGCCGGAGCGGCGGGCGCGGCGCGGCGGCGGGGCAGCGGCAGCGCGGACCAAACAGCAGCCAGAGCGGCCGGCGCGGCGGGCAGTAGCAGCGGCGGCTCAGGCTGCACAGCTCAGTTTGCGGCGGCGCGGCAGCGGCGCGGCCCGGACAGCAGGGGGCGGCGGGGCGCAGCGGCGGCGCAGGATAGACAGCGGCGGGCGGCGGCGGCGCAGCGGCAGGGCTACGGCGAGAAGCGGCGGGCGGTGGGGCGGTGACGAGGCAGTGGCGGCGTAGGCCAGCCAATAGCCCGAGTGGCGGGCGCGGCGCAGGGGAGGGGGCACAGCGGCGGCGCAGCCGGAACAGCAGGGGAGCGGCGGGGCGCAGCGGTGAGGGAGCGTCGAGCCAGCAGGGACAAAGGCAGCACCGAGCGGGCAGCGGAGAGCGCAATGGGGAGCGAGCGGCGGCGAGGGCAGCGGCGGGCGAGCGGTAGCAAAAGCAGTAGCGAGCGAGCGGCGAAAGGGCAGACAGCGAGCGGCGAGGAACACACGAGCTGGGGGGGAGGGGGACATACGCGAGGTGCTCCGACGGAGTGGTGGCGGATCGCCGCCTGGCCAATGGAATGGCCGAGAAAAAAACGTAAGGGAAAAACGCGATTGATCAATGTGGGAATTGTCCCAGAAAAAATTAAAGGAAATAGTTTAAACAGTTTATTGATGTCTAGAAGAGCCTACGACCGGCTCTTCAAACCCAACCGAACCTCCGGGCAATGGGGGCGCTGTTCGTGAAGGATTCTGCGTAGACACGTCTGTTCAAATCTGCCCCCGAGCAGGCCCACGCGCTAGTCGCATGGGACTGTCCGTTATATACTAATTTAATGTAACCCTAAACAAGGCAAGTTCTTTCTTCACCGCGTGACCCATTCGCGTGGTGAGGTATATCGCCATATGAGAGACATTATGATAGAAACCTTCACACTGCCATTTTTCCAGAAGTAGAACTTGCTGGAGTCCTGACAATCCATTTTCGGACAGTATTGAGGTCGTAACCCGTATCTAGGAGCTTTTCCAAGGCTTCGTTGGGATGTTCTTTTGTCAAACCATCGGCTACGTTGTTTTCAGATGAGACAAGACCGACGTGAGATATTTCTTCTCGGTTGTAGCATTGACGCGCAGATGCAATGTCAATCATCAGCCGTTTTTCTGTCGTTGATGACCCTTTCGTGATGACGTCAAACATTTGTAGAGAATCTGTGAACATATGAAGTGGAATCTTCTTCTTAAATATCATTTGGAGGTCATGGCGTAAAATATATGCTCTGTCGAAACCGTCAGCGAAAGCGTACACTTCTCCACCAAGAATGGATCTTACAACACGCTTGGACTTTCTACTGGAGTAATCCAAAACATGCGCGCGATTCGACTCATTACATAGAAGGATGATGAACCCGAGTTGTGATGACAAATCATCATTTCCAGCAAATGAAGCATCTGCATATACCTTCAGATGAAGCGTCTGCTTGTCCAAGGGGGGGTATTGGAGGCACCTTTCAGGGGTTTTCTGTAAGAACGTGATCGTAGTGTTGAATGCCTTGACCTTTTCCACCCGAAATGTACCTTGAGTCACCTGTGCTGCTTTGTTGATGGCACATAATGCGTCGGGCCTTGTGTATCCCACCCAAGCGAGTGTGGCTCT